GTCGTCGTCGTCGTCGTCGTCTTTATCATCGTCGCTGCGGTGAGACACGACGAACGTCGCCTGCCGCCTGAGGTTCATAGAGGGCGCCGCCCTGCAGTCGTCGCCCGAGCTCTCCATCTCGAGACGCGGGGCGAGACGCTGGGCGCGGGGGTCAGCGCGGCGCATGAGATGTGGCGCGAGGCGCGGGGGTCATCGGCGAGGCGAAACGCGAGGCGGCGTCACTGGCACGGCGGCGAGTGAGACCGCTGCGAGACATTGAGACGCTGAATCACCATCGTGGTGATTGAAACCCACAGCGAGACGCAAGAGTAAGTGGTCTCAGCACTGTGAGATACGAGTTGCTGTCACGGGTGAGGCAGTTGAGACACAAGCGGCCGTCGTAGTTACAGTCAGTGAGACGAGAGAGACACACGTATGAGTCACAGATCACACTACTGTAAGACACGAATTGCTGTCGTGCGTGATCACGAAATGGCTGAAACCACTATTAGACACGAGTCACCATCACAGTTACAGTGATTGAGACAAGAGAGACGCAGGCCAGAGTCACACTACTGTAAGACACACGTCGCCATCACTAGGTGAGGTGCGATGAGCGAGACAGCATGCGAGACGCGACTCGCCGTTACTAGCACGGTTATTGAGACGGCCGTGAGACACGAGTCTCGCTCGTGGCACCGACCTGAGACATCGACTGCCATCACGGGTTCGCTGGTTACGGCCACGCGTCTGAAGTCTCCTTCGCTAGTACATGGCGACTGAGACCACTGCGAGACACTGTTACTAGCACGCCGCGTGTGACCACTGCGAGACACGACGCACTGTTACTAGCACACTGGGTGAAACCACTGCGAGACACGACGCACTGTTACTAGCACACTGGGTGAAACCACTGCGAGACACGACGCACTGTTACTAGCACACTGGGTGAGCCCACTGCGAGACACGACGCACTGTTACTAGCACACTGGGTGAGACCACTGCGAGACACGACGCACTGTTACTAGCACACTGGGTGAAACCACTGCGACGACAGTGAGTGACTACTCGAGTCTCTCTCGCTCACGGATATTGGCAGTCGATGGCACTGGTGAAAGACACTCAATCTCTGACTCTGTCTTAGAGAGCACAGTCTCTCATAAAGTGTGACAGGAGTCTCTCTTATAGCTACAGCGGGAGAAGCCACACAAAGTCTCTCTCACAGCTACGGTTGATGGAACAAGACGCAAGTCTCTCCCCACAGCTACGGTTGATGGAACAAGACGCAAGTCTCTCCCCACAGCTACGGCGGGTAAAGCAACACACAAGTCTATTCCATAGCTACGACGAATGAAGCAAGACACGACTCTCTCTCTCTCTCTCGCTCTCTCTCTCTCATACACAACTACGGCGAGCGGAGCGACACGGCAGTAACCACGAGAGTACGGGTGTAGCAGCCGCTCGCTTCCCGAATACTGGAACGATCTCACACTGTCGCTGCGGCCAGCCACGGCAGGACCTAGGGGCGCACGCCGACCCACAGCTTTGTGACGCGCGGCGGACACGCGCCACAGCTGCCGCACGCGGCATATGTCGTGCGCCCGCCCGCTCTCTGCCTCTATCTATCTACGGCCGTAGAACAGACAAAAACCTAGCTCTCACCCAGGTAGCGTGTCGAGGTGGGCTGAGCGTGGAGGGAACGACCACGGCTTACGTAACAGCCCGGGGGGAGGGGGTCAACCTTGATGTAAATGCGAGATGGAGAGATAGCAGTGCCAGGGCGCGTAACGAGGACGTATTTCGCGCCGACATGCGTAATAAATGGCACATGCGTGTGTGTCCCGGGGGTCTGTCAGCACAGGGCTGAGCCGACCTTACCTACCACGCACTGGCGACCGCTACACGCTTCTACCAGACATGTGAAGAAGAATGGTGGAGTTTAAACTACAGTTGTTTAAACCCTCCGGTCACTTACTCAATTACGCTCTCCCTCACTCAAACCCATTCACTCACTCGCTCCCTCCCTCGCGTCGACGGCAGTTCACTTCTTTCACTCACTTAACCACAAAAGTGAAAACGCAAACTTGAACTCAAACGAGATGAATTCAAAATGACGTATATTATTCCAGAACCGCTGAACAGTTATCCTCCAGAACCTTCATTCACTAACTTTGCGGTCGGTTTATTTATTTACATTCTTTTCGCATTTATTACTTTATTATTTATATTACGCTGAGTTACCTGCTGCCGCTCAGTACACTTCCTGGCACGCTCACACACGCACGCACACACACGCACGCACGCACACACACACGCGCGCGCACGCACACACACACACGCACGCACGCACGCGAGCGCGCGCGCACACACACACACACACACTCCCTGACACACTCACTGATCTCATCACCGCCCACCGCCCACCGCCCACACAACTGACCACTGCCCTCATAACCTGGGTATATCACTTGGTATATAATTCACACCGAAAAATAAATATAACCCCCCCCCACGGCCCGTACCTGCCCACTACCCCCGCGGTCCGTACGTACCTGCTTGTCCGTCTCAATGTCATTCATCTTCAGCTTCTGCCTCTGCAGGTCTCCCTCGAGACCTCTCTTGGCGAGCTCCAGCTTCGTGCAGTGCGTCTCCGCGACCTCCAGGTTCTCCCTCAGCTGCTTCTTGTCCTGCTCCATGCGCTCGATCTGAGTCTTCAACTTGTTAATCTACGTCAGGATTGAAGACAGGGGGAGAGAGTTAGCAGATACAGAGATATACAGCAGGAGGAACACAGAGGGAGAGAGTTAGAAGGTAGCCGGGGGCGGAATACGGTGTTATTATCAAATTGGCAATCTACAGTACGATGGAACACAAGGGGGAGAGAGTTAGAAGGTAGCCGGAGGCGGAATACGGTGTTATTATCAAATTGGCAATCTACAGTACGATGGAACACAAGGGGGAGAGAGTTAGAAGGTAGCCGGGGTTGGGATAAGGTGTTATTGAAATACCTTGGAATGATTTAATAGGATTTCTGATGTGCAAGAAACACAGAGGGAGTGAGAAAGTAGCCATGGTCCGGACCCCAATATTACTATGCTACCTTGGAATGATTTAATCAGATTCTGTCGCGTAAGAATGATTTCTATCACACAAGAAACACGTGGTGGGGAGGAGTTAGAAGATAGCCACTAGGCTGGGATGCACGGTTACTGTATTACCATGAAATCATTCAATCGGATTTTTGTCACACAAGAAATACACGGGGAACATTAGAAGGTAGCCCGGGGGTCGGAACAGCGTGTTTTATTGTAATAACTTGAAATTACTTAAATGGATTTATGTTATGCAAGAAACACTCAGAATAGTTATAAGCTAACCTCGGGCTCAGACTGGGATATTGTACGTACTACTGTACTGAAACTGGGACAAGTGTTATATTGATGAATTAAATCAATTAATGATTTATATGGTATATTAATATTGTATTTATATTAGTATGTTGTATTAATGAAAGGATTTAAATTTGATTGATATGAACAAGTACTGTATGTGATGATAACTGAGATGTTAGTAATGAACAATTACTTGCTCAACATGACCTAACACTGAAAATACCGCACAGGACAGTATGAGCATTGATAAAGATTATTGGCATAACTGACACGGCAATTACTTCCTTAAATGGATTTAAATGTTCATTATTATTATTAGTAGTATTAGTATTAGTATTAGTAATAGTATTAGTATTAGTAATTAGTATTAGTATTAGTATTTAAGAATTAAGTTAGTAGTGAACACTGGACAGTGAGTGAATGACACCCACATGGCAGACTTGATTCTGCCACTACAGCGCTTCCCTTTACTTTAACGAGATAATGATTTGTTGTGAAAAGCCAACAATGACGTTCCGCGTCTGCCACCTCGACAGAAAAGCACACCTTTGTTGTCCTGCAGGTGGGGGACAGACAATTAATTAGTCACGAATCCGCCAAGTGCATCAAGCACTCCAATCAACAGCGTCATCCAATTATGCAAGTGTCTTGTTTCGATGAAGATGCAAATTAATACACAATGTTAATGACACGCAGCTTAGTGGGTGCTATTCATCAATACCACGTCTATTCGGGAGGGGGGGGAGGGATGGTGACACTAACTACCCATCACGCCCAGTTTAGTTAAATAAACACACACTACGCAAACACGTAAAAATTCCTAGACCCAAAATTTCCATTTCGTAATGACGACACGTGCGCGCGCGCGTTTTCGAAAATCGCCGCTAAATCAACACGATTAATCAAGTTTTATGCGCTTTTAATGATGATGTCATCGTCCGTGATGAGTTGGGCGGACCCTGCTATGTGATGACGTGGTGGTGCGGGACAGGGCGATGAGCATAGATGCCCAGCGTGTGCACGCGCCCCGCGGGCGTACAGCCGACCGATCGACGCTGACAGATGTTTCCATCTGCCGTCGTTACACGCTCGCCGACCTGACGTAAAATCACCACCATCACCATCACCATCACCACCACCATCGCCATCACCACCACCACCACCATCGCCATCGCCCCATCACTTGTGATAACGGCATATTGTGCCCCCGCTGCTCGCATTTTTTAAACAAAGGCCCTATCAGTTACGATGCGCCCGTCGGGCATGGGTACTGCTCGGGGGTTAGGTATAGGTAGGTATCAGCATAAGTTAAGTTGAAACAGTACGTGTATATGTGTGCGGGTTGAGCGTGTGGGCAAGGGGTCACAAAAGGTCAAAATTAATTTGTGATTGCTTTTCGGGAACAAATAGATCTGCTAGCGGAAATGTAATGTATGCGATTTTTCTGTGGATATTTTTTGGTATAAACGTTTTTGTATATCCTATTCACTAATTTTTTGTGTCTAACCGTGTTGAAGGCATCCTTTTAACACGAGGAAGGATGTGAAACTGCGGCTACAAATAGCTATTATACACCGCGCTAACGATTTTACATGAAAAACCTAAAACCTCTGGTAAAAAAATACACAATTTTGTCGTCACTTTTCCAGATGAAAAATGGCAGTTTATCCTTAATTTCGACTCTCTGTGTATTCATAGGGGAAACCTACGCTAGACGTTGGCTTAGCAGTACTGCTCGACAGGTCGTAAGTAAGAGGATGACAAGCAAAGAAAAACACAGGCAGCGGTATACAGCCAAACCTACACAAAACGGATAGATAGACAGTTATATATAAATCGGCCATCCGTCTAGAACTGAAACTTTTGTCATTTCTATTAAATGGAAGTAATTATTCTGTGAACCCATCCTGTATAGAACGGTCACCTGTCTATAAAGGACACTTTAGTGGTATCTCTCGAGTAATTAGACCTCACACACGAATCTGACACCGACACACGAGGGCACCAAAAAAAGAAGGAAGCCACATCGAAGGAGAAAGAGAGCCACATCGAAAGGAGAAGGTAAGCCGCATCCAAAAGAGAAGGGAAGCCACATCCAAAAGGAGACGACACGCACCCGCTCGCCCAGCTGCTTCTTCTCGTTGTCGCCGCTGGCCTGCTGCCGCTCGCCGACGTCCAGCTTCTCCATGAGAGACTTGCGCTCCCTCTCTCCACGCCGGATCGTGTCCTCCTGCTGCGTCATCGCAGCGTGTGACTTGGCCAGGCGGCCGTCGATACCACGCTTGTCTGAAACAACGCGCGGCCGAGTTAGTGGTGGATGGTGTGTTATTGCTGATCATTGATATAGAGAAAATAATAGAGAGATGGAGAGAGAGAGAGAGAGAGAGAGAGAGACACAGAGAGAGAGACAGAGAAAGAGATAAAGAGAGAGAGAGAGAGAGAGAGAGAGAGAAAGCGAGAGAGAGAAAGAGAGAGAGAGAGAGAGAGAGAGAGAGAGAGAGAGAGAGAGAGCGCGCGCGCGCGCAGAGAAAGAGCGAGAGAGACAGAGACTTTTTTAACAGGTATCATTGCAAACACTGAGTATGTTAGCATAAAGCTCTAATCAATCTATCTGTCTAAAATACAAATATTCACATAGAATATGCATAAGGGTAATAGAAAAAACATACAAAAATGAGTAAAATGGGTAGCGATAAAGAAGAGAGAGAGTAAGGGCACGGAGAGAGAGAGAGAGAGAGAGAGAGAGAGAGAGAGAGAGAGAGAGAGAGCGCAGAGAGAGAAAG